AACCAGAATATATTCCATGCATGGGTAGATGCCATGTTTTGAGCAAAAATATTGTTGAGAAAACATGCAGTTGCCTGCCCTCCACTTCCTGGAGTTTTTGTTTTAGTGTGAACAGGTGCTAAAAAATGCCCCTCCCCCTGTTTTTCCATCCCTTCTCCCAGGGTTCAGCCACACGACCTTGCCAGCCACCCCGACCTCCAGTGAGGCCCTTCATCCTTACTCGGGATGCTGCCCAGGCAAAGTATATCACGTGGGGGAGCAGGGGAGGGTTCCTGCTGCTGCTTCTGGCAGGGAGGGAGTCTTGATGGCAGGTGGGCTTTTCATGAGAGGAATGTGGATTGTTCCTGCTCCTGCTGCTCTGTGCTGCTTCAGGGGGCTGGAAGCAGGACAAGTTCTGGCTTAGTTTCCTTTCTTGTAGGGTGTTTGGTGCTGGCTATCCTAGCCTAGCAACAATGACAGTGGATGAATGGTACGAGGAGCACCAGAAGCAAGGAGTCCTTCCCGATCGAGGCATCTCCCAAAGAGCTCCAGGTATTTTTGAACACGAGGAGGTGGGGAGGGAGTTGAGGAAAGGCCACTCTCAAAGAGGGACTTACTGTGTTTCTGATCTATCAAAGGCCCCATGCTAAAATAGTTTAGGATTATTTAGAAAGCTAGCTGAAAGGTGAACTTCAGTGGCAGAATGTGGGAAGTGCAACTTCCTTTGGGATTCAGAGTGCCCCCCACAGTGCTATGAACAGTCACTTTTCTAAAGTGTGCTAGGTTAGATATAACAAGTGTTCACCCAAAGGATTGTTTTTAATCTTTAAAAAATAAAATCCTCTTAGCAAACAATGGAAATGACAGTTTCCACAAAGAAACACCAGAAATGGATTTGTATCTCCAAAATGGCTCTTGATCTCTGAGTGTGTACTTGCTTCCATTCTCTTCTGAAAGAACTCCAGGCAGAGCGGCATGGGTAGAGCTTGTGCCACTGAGCACAGGTTGGCTTGAGGAATTACCAAAAACCATGTGAATTGCCACACCCTGTAATTCTCAAAACTATGTAGAACAAATTTTGGAAAATGTGGGCTTTTGTTAAGAGTGCAGAACACTTTTACTCATCTTACGCTCCCTCTCATGTTATCTCTCCCCCATCCCACAAGCATTGCCACTGCTTAAAAGGGGGTGAAACAGTTGGAACAGGAAATGTGTGACCATGTCAGTGCTCTTGACTGGGATTGTGGTAACTGTACTCTAAAATCGTGTTGATAGATGAACAAACATGCACACTCTTTTGGCCCATAGCAGGTACTGAAGACCAGCAGAAGGAACAGGAAAAAAGCACAGAGGGGGAGGAAGAAGCCGCGCTATTGAAAGCACGGGAATGGGATGAGTGGAAGGACCTCCACCCAAGGGGCTATGGCAACCGGAAGAACATGGGCTGAGGAGAATCCAGAGATGAGTTTGCACCCCTCACAGCCTGCGTGAGAAAGTGCGACTGGCTCCTCTTTCTGAAAGGAGAAAATGAGTCGCGTGTTATATTGAATGCCAAGCTTGATGGGAGTGCAGGAAATGTGGAGAGCGCATGGGGGCATTGGATCTCCTGGCGTCTCCTTGTCTTAAAATGGTCCTTAATAAGCTGATTGGATGTCCACTTGGAAGTACTATTGGCTGCTGTAACTTATTTCTTTATTTAAAAAAGAAAATAAAATGCTTCCATCAGTTCATCCAACCCTTCCTTGAATCTTTCTCTGCCTCTTGCCTCCTCATTTTATGAAAAAGAGAGCGAGACTTGTCTTGGCAATCAGGCTATTGCGGGGTCTCCAGTACAGCATCTGGAAGGGGTTGTGGAGAATCCTTTGGTTTCCTTCCAGATTCTGTACCTCACCTTCTTATACCGTTTGGAAACGGGAGAAGCTGTTGCATGTACCATGGTGTCCCTGTATTCCTGAGATGGGAAAATAATGTCCTCATACTTTGGTTCCCTGTAGCAACATGCTTGTAGTCTGGGGTCTGCAGCTTATGAATGGCTCAGGTTGCCTGGATCCTGTTCGTTCCCCAAGGCAGGGTTTGAATCTTTGAACTTGTGCTGTGGGTGAATGAGATCAGTCCTCTGTTCATCCAGTTGTTGCCACTACTGAGCTGGACATCCAAGTGCTTGAAGCAACTCTGAAGCAGAGGGAGTGCAAGGGGAGTGTGAGAAGGGAAGGTGTGGTGGAGATTACTGCCTGATGCTGGAATAGTGACTTGCACCAAGCAGGCTAAGCCCTGATTGATCTGTTGTTATGCAGCTGAAATGGGTCTCTGGGTGGCAAATGACCCCAGATCCTTTTTTTACTTATGGTAAAAATGCCCTTGTGCCCTTCATTGGAATTAAGCTTATAACCATACAGGAAGTTACAACCGTGCTGAATGAATGATAGTTATGACCAGTACTCGAAGCTGTAGCACCCCCGTGGTCATATGATCAAAATTTGGGCACTTGACAGCCCACCCGCATTTACAACCGCGTCATTAGGCAAGGACCTCACAGCTTCTGCCCTGCACAAGCTGCCGGCTCTGTCCCGCAGTCTCCTTCCCAACCACTCTGCTACCACCCGCCAGTTGCTGGCCCTCGCAACGCCTCTGCAAAGGCCTTATCAGGTGTCACAAAGAGCCAGCAGCTGCCTTGGCCGGGCACACCTTGTCAGCAGTGGGAGGAAGAAGATGACAAAGGTCAGCTGGGGGGGGGCAGACAGTGGAATGCAGGGCGACCAAAAGGGCAGGGATGGGGGGGAGATTAGTCAGTGGAGGGAGCTGAAGCAGAGGTGAGCATGACAGGGCGATGGAGCCGCCTCTGCTGAAGGGAGCTCACCAGGCCCAGCTGGGGAGGAGACAGTGGGATGGACTGCTTTGCTTAGTGATGGAAATTCCAGTCCTAATTAGGGTCACTAAGTGAGGACTACCTGTACAAGGCTGATTGGCTTTGGGCTAGAGGTTTTGACAAACTTAGCTCCTTTCCTTTGGAGTACAGTGAGAAGCTAACGTCGCTTGTTCACATAAGGTAGAATCCTAGAGTTGGGACTGTGGGGGTCATCCAATCCAGGCCTGTTCACTGCAGGAGCTATAAGATGGCCATGCAGGCTCTCTCTGAAAACTTCCACTGAAGCAGTGGTAGCCTGGTCCACTGCTGACTGTACGGTGAGTTTTCTAGTCTGAACCTATTTTCTTGAACTTTTAACCTATTGGTTCTGTTCTGTTCCTGCCCTTGGGGCAATAAAAAATAAGTCCGCTCTCCTATGTGGCAACTCCTAAGATATTTGAAGTCTATCTCCCCTCGTTTGTCTCTCCTAAATTCACCCAGATCCTTTAACTGTGCCTTTTAAGTTTGGTTTCCAGATCCTTCACCATCTTAGTAGCTTTCCTCTGAACTGCCAAGCCATGTTTTCTGCATCCCTTTCATTTTTTCTTCTCAGATGCAGAACTTCAGTTTCATCTCATTCATTTCAGCTGGCTGCTCAAACCTCTCTTAATTGTCTTTGAATCTCCTCTCTTCCATCTGAAGGATTAGGCAACTCTCCTAACAAATCTGTGTCAGCTGTAGGTTTGAAAAGCATCCCTCCATCTCCCTCACACGTCATAGATGAAAATGGAACAATGCAGGGGCCAGAACAGAGCCCCATGGCTCCCCACCTGATACTCTTCTCCAAGCTGAAGCAGAGCCCTTTGCTCATTCAGCCAACAGGATCTGATATGCGGATATCACCGATTCAAGGATAAGATAATTTCCTTTATGGTGCCCATCCTGTTGACGTACCCTGCAAATGCTCTTATAAACAGCTAACAGAATTTAAAAAGGGGATGCTGTAATGGCTAGGTGGGACCAGCTGATAGCAGCAGTGAAAAATGAGACCCCCACTCTCTGGGAACTAGCATCTGCTTGCAGGTACTCAGAGTCTGTGCACTTGGGCTCTCATATTCCCATAGCAAGAGGGAGAATGTTTTCTGTGAGCTGCAGAGAAGGCTGATAAAGCCTTTCCCCCATCTCACTATTTTTCAAAGAAAATAAGCATCCCTACTAAGAAGATGGGAAAGAAAACAGTAATAAGAGTTAATGTATTTGATTTTGATGCTGCCTGACTTCAACCAAGGCTCCTTAAGAGTTTTATAAAAAAACTAGACAACCCATGACCTGCTAGGTCATTGTTTCAGAGATACTTCCTTACCTAAACAGAGAAACAGAATGACCAAGGGCAAAAAAGCAGTGGGAGTGTGAGCAACTTATGACTTGGTGCCAGTTTCCCCATTGACTTTGCTTGTGGGAAGCTGGCAGGGAGTGTCAAAAATCCCTCCCTCCCTCAACATATAATATAGGCTTGTGCCATTTGCCCTCCCCTCATGACCCTCAGGTGAGCCCCAGTGAAGCCGCCGCCGCCGCCTCCTCAGTGACCAGCAGAACTGCCTGCCACTTTGCTGGGGGGAGGTAGAACAAAGGGAGCCACGGGCCATGAGGAAAACTGCACCCCTACTCCCCATTCTGGTGTGTCCCCAAGGGCTTCCTCCCTTAAGGGAGGAAAGAGTTCACCCGTCGACCACCGGTGCCACCCAGCCAGCCTTACCTCACCAGCAGGCATCCAAATCCTTTCCTCAATGCCCACAGCCATTAAGAGATTTCAAATTTCTGCCTCGTTTCCAAAGCAGCCAATCGCCACTTGCCTGTCATATCTTGCTTCCCACTGATTGGGTGCAGGGGAGAGAGGTGGGAAAGAGGTTGGGGATATGCCCATGATGATCATGTGACCTGAGCTGACCATGTCAGCACAGCAGTGCTGAAGGAGCCACAAATTTCCCATATTCAAATCCCATAGGAGTAATGGGTCCCAGATTTTGGACACATTCTGTAAGTTAGCCCAATTGAGGTACCTTGGTTCAAAAATTATTGCCCTATGCTGCACCGTTTTGCCCAATTGAAGGTTACAGACACAAGAGTTTTAGTAGTATATAGACTAGAATTAAATTTTCTAGAGGCTAATAGCATTTCAGCATTTTGGTACTGAAAGCCAAAATATGAGTTTTATAACTCTAAATTATTAGCAAATAAATTATTAAAAAAAAAACCCTGAGAAAAGACATGTATAAACTCAATACCAGACTGTAAAGGTCAAATGACTACTCACAGTAATAAAATTAACACTGAATTTGCACAATTCTTTAAAGAAGTGTATACATCTAAATGCTGATTGCCATGACATATATATTTATTTTAATCCAAGTTGATACATCAGGATAAAAATGAGATGTTTCTTCCAATGGAATTTGTTTGTTTGTTTGTTTGCTTGTTAAATTTTTCAACCGCCCATCTCCCCCCAGTGGGGGAACTCTGGGCGACTCACAACAAACATTAAAAACAAATATGTATAAATACATAAAACATCAGTAAAAAACATTACTAAAAAGGAGAAGGAGGGTCCAAGAAGATGAAAAATCTGAGGCTGAAGACAGAAAACCTCTATGGGGCTAGCCATCCCCATGCTTGAGGTATTCCCTCCCCACCATTTTTCAACCGCCCATCTCCCCCCAGTGGGGGAACTCTGGGCGACTCACAACAAACATTAAAAACAAATATGTATAAATACATAAAACATCAGTAAAAAACATTACTAAAAAGGAGAAGGAGGGTCCAAGAAGATGAAAAATCTGAGGCTGAAGACAGAAAACCTCTATGGGGCTAGCCATCCCCATGCTTGAGGTATTCCCTCCCCACCCCAGGCCAAGTGGCAGAACCAAGTCTTCAAGGCCCTTCGGAAGGCCAGGAGTGGGGGCCAATCACACCTCCGGGGGCAGAATGTTCCAAAGAGCGGGGGCTACCCCAGAGAAGGCCCGCCTTCTGGACCCCACTAATCATTGTTCTTTCACTGAGGGGGTCTGAAGCATGCCCTCTCTGTGTGAATGGGTGGGACGGGTTGAAATAGGGGAGAGGCGGTCCCTTAGGTAACCTGGTCCCATTGCCATGCGGGGCTTTAAAGGTGATAACCAACACCTTGAATTGGACCTGGAAGCAAACTAGCACCCAATGCAGCTCACGGAATAGAGGCATTACATGGGCCCTCCTTGGGGCTCCAACAATAGCCCGCGCAGCTGCATTCTGGACCAGCCGTAGCTTCCGGATACTTCAAGAGTAGCCCCATGTAGAGAGCATTGCAGTAGTCTATCTGGGAGATAACAAGGGCATGAGTGACTGTTTGAAGGGCATCCCGATCCAGGAAAGGGCGTAACTGATGCACAACCCAAAGTTGTGCAAGTCCATGATGTCCAACTGTTTGAAGGGCATCCCGATCCAGGAAAGGGCGTAACTGATGCACAACCCAAAGTTGTGCAAGTCCATGATGTCCAACTCTCAGTTCTGAAGCTTTCTCACGCAACCAGGCTTGGGTCAGATAAATACTTCTTTATTAAGAGGTACATGTAGCTTGTAAACAGAACATTGCTAAAACTAACGCCTTAGGTAAACCTCCCTCTATTTATCCCCCCTCCCCTTATTGCTTTGCGTCGGTACTCCTCTTCACCTGTTGTTGCCCTCTCTCCTTCCTCCCCGAGCTTCTTCCTGGTTCTTTGGGCCCCAGCTGCCTGGCCGGCAATCAAGCCAGTCTAAATTGCCCACTTATGGTTAAGCTGCTTCCCGACTCCCCTTACAACCATTAACATCCACCCCCCCCTTAGTTGTCGTCGTTGTTGTTCAGACACGACT